GGACCAGCATGGGGGGAATGTGGGTTCATAGCTGGCCAAAGCCAAGAACCTCTGCTTGTTGCTCAGATTATTTGACAAGTCCCATTAAGCATAGAAACAGGGCAAAACAGTCATGTTTGTTCTGTAATGAGTTGTTTTCCTACTCTCTTTTCGCCAAAGTCTACTATTTCTGCATACAAAAAGAATGGAAATTATCATTCAAGCTGAATTATGGTGGCATGTGAAAGGGAGGGTAAAATTTATGGCCGGAGATGCTATTACAAAATACTTCCAGGATAGGTAATTGTGTAATTATTACGGGCAGAAATGAAAGTGATGGTTCATTAAAAGAAGATTACCATGAAATAACAGTAAATAAAACCCAATTAAAGCCGTGGTGAATGCACGGCCTGTCCTGCCCGTGTGCTGGAGGGTGCAGGGCACAGGGGTGCGTGGCTGTCACCCACAGCCCCACGGAGATTGCCAGGGCCCAGGGTGGTGCTGCCCATGCCGGGCTCCCCTGAGCAGGGGGTGGCTGGGGCACAGCCTGACCGTGGCGTTCTCCTCCTGCAGTGCACGTGGAGCCCGGCACGTGCGAGGTCATCGCAGCTCACCGGTGCTGCAATAAGAACAAGATCGAGGAGCGGTCCCAGACGGTGAAGTGCTCCTGCTTCCCAGGGCAGGTGGCAGGGACCACGCGGGCAGCTCCCTCCTGCGTGGATGGTGAGTACCCCGTGGCCATGAGCCGGGTGCCATGCAACCCCAGACTGTGTCTTCCCCATGAGCTGGGCTGGTCTGGGGCTTCTGTGCCCCTGGGACTAGCAGAGGAGAGCTACTCGGGGGCTCCTGCAGCAGAGCAGAGGGGGCAAGGGAGCGTTCTGGGGACACTCTCCAGGGGCGTGGCTGCATCACCCTGCTCCGTGCAGCCCCGGGCTGTGTGCCATGGGTGGGTTTCAGTGCTCCAGAGGTTCCAGCTCCTTTGGTGTGTCAGCATCGATCCCAGCACGTCTACCCCTTGCGCTGCTGCAGCCGGAGGCAGGGACGTGACTCCAGCCATGCAGCACCGTCACCTGCGAGGAGCACTAAGCAAAGCTCAAGCCATGTATATTTTATCGAATGGCATCACGTGGCATCGCCGAAGAGCTGGCAGGAGCAGCTGCAGCCTCTGCCAGCACGGTATCGATTGGCCTGACAGCCGGCATCCTGGGCGTGCATCTGTGTGCGGCACCAAGGAATGCCAGGATGAGTTGTCAGGGAAGGCTTTTGTTGTCCCAAACAGCTTGTGTGTGTCATCATCCCCAGATATAGGGGAGCCTACTCTGGTTACTCACATTGGAGGCATGAATTACAAAAGCCTAACAGAGCAGAGCAGTAGTAGACAGTCCCTTTGCCTTCCTCCATGGAGCCTGAAGTAGGTTACTGGAGAACCTTGCTCTCCCTGCTTTCTCTGGGAGCTAAGACAGGACTGTCGTTAGGCTTCTTACCTGGGGTCGTGAGGGAAAACTGGGTGTTTTTGGAGGCAGTTGGGTCAAGTGAGGGCAGGCAGGGGAGGAGCAGCTCCTCAGTAGGGTGTCTGCAAGCATGGGCTGCACTGGAGAGCAGAGCTGCACCTCCTGCCACCAGCCGAAGGCAAGCAGGGCTGGCACCCCCACACCACAGCCTGACTGCTGGCACCCTCCTCTCCTGTCCTGTCCGGTCCTCTCCTCTCCCCCAGCCTCCATCGTGCTGCAGAAGTGGTGGTGCCAGATGGAGCCGTGCCTCGATGGGGAGGAGTGCAAGGTGCTGCCCGACCTCTCGGGCTGGAGCTGCAGCAGCGGCAACAAAGTGAAGACAACCAAGGTAAGTGCCCTGGCAGGGGTGCTGGGGGGAGCCTGGCTGCGCTGTGCCCAGCATGGGGAGAGCAAAACCCAGGAAAGCATCCCCAGAGAGGTCACAGTGGAGAAGGGGAGCTCTGGCTTCCCTCGCATGTGCTGAAGCAGAGCAGAGGGGCCGTGCTGGGCTGTTGTCAGCAGTGCTGGAGGGGCTGGCAGGGGCAGCACGAACCCGCGCGGGCCCCACGGCTCTGCCCAGCAACACCTCCCGCGGGGAGGCTCGGTGAGGAGGGTGTTGAGTGGCTCAGCCCGCAGGCAGCGTGCTGGGGATGTCTCCTGGCCACGTCCCAGCCTCTCCCCAGCATCTCCCCAGTGCGCCAGGGCAGCAGGTTGCTCGTCCCAGCCCAGTGGCACAGCCCCAAATCCCTCACCACTCCCCCATCTGAGGCAACCGTCTGTGACAGTGCTACATGATTATTATTTTCATGGCTTGCTGAATGCCCCAAAGAACAAGGTATAATTAAAATTTTATCAAACTCATTAGTAATTACATATATGCCATGGTTAATCAGTTGCATAATTTTGTAATCATTGTTCATACTGTTGAGTGTAATTATTCCTTATGCTTTAGTTTTTCTCACCCCACATCCCCTGCCATGAAATTATCGTATTAAGTGATGTTGGGGTTTTTTCATTATCGCTATTATTTTTGTGCACAGAAAGCACTTTCATGCCTCATGGACAACCAAGAAGGTTCCTATGGCCCTGGCCATGCACCACTGACCAGTAACTGCAGCACTGCCTTTAGCTCATTTTTTTTTTCACCTTTATATTGTTTGGGTTTTTTTTCCCTCCGGCCCCTCACGTAGCCCAGAGCCTCTGCTCCGGCTGCGCTGCCCGGGGCTCTCCCTGGGAACATTCCCACCTGCAGGCCCCCAGGGCTTCTGCTGCTCTCTCTTCCAGCAACCCGGACCTCCAGGGCCATCCTCCCCGTGCCCCTTTTGGGTCCTGAGGGAGGTGGCAGTTGGAAATGCAGACCTATGTTTTCAAAGGGATCTTTGGTGACTTTGGGTGCCTCCTCAGGAACTGTGCCGAGGGGCTGGATTTGCCCCGTTCAGTCCCCTCTGCAGACAGAACCCCGGTGCAAGCTGCAGCCAGAGCATGATGTTCACAAAGCACCCGTAAGCTGCAATTTAGAACGACCACTCCATTAAATGAATGCAAAGAGCAAATCGTTTTTGCATCTCCTGAGGCTGTTCTCTGGCAATTTGTGGACGGGGCAATCAGCTGGATGTGCCGGGCAACTTGCCCACTGCAGATTGTCCGTTTCCATTAGCAGGCTCCTGCCCCACTCGTCTCCTCTGCCCGCAGGTCACCCGATAGCCTCCGTGTGAGGACCGGCCCCG